CCGTGGAATCCCAGCCCTCATCAGTTTCCCATTGCTACTACTCAGAAGTAGGGGCCAAGCTGCAGTTAGAGATCCGTGTCTGGCCTTCCAAATGTGCAATCTGGGCTGAAAAAGCGGAGGGCCTAACCTCTGACCCTCGGAACCACCCTGCCCCCCCCAAGACTGGGTACTGAAAAGGGGAGGCAGTTTTCCTCCAAACATTTGCCCCGATCCGTGGTGTGTGTGAGAGCATCTGTATTACAAATTCGATAAAAACAAAAGTAGGCCCAACTAGTAAGAGCATAAGAGCATTGTTGTTGTTGTTGTTCAGTCGCACAGTCGAGTCCGACTCTTCGCGACCCCATGGACCAGCTCCCGCCAGGCCTTCCGGTCTTCCGCCGTCCTCTGAAGTTGGCTCAATTTCATGTCAGTTGCCCTGATAACACTGCCTGACCTTCTCATCCTTTGCCGTCCCCGTCTTCTTTGACCTTCAGTCTTTCCCAGCATCAGGGTCTTCTCCAGTGAGGGCTCCCTTCTCATTGGGTGGCCAAAGTATTTGAGCTTCAATTTCATTATCTGGCCTTCCAGGGAACAGTCAGGGTTGGTTTCTTTTAGAAAGAAGAGCATAAGAGAAGCCAAAGTTGGATCAGGCCAATGGTCCATCCAGCCCAACACTCTGTCACACGGTGGCCAAAAATACCAGGGGGCATCAGATCAGAATAAAATCACGCAGTTACCTCAAACACAGACTATTTGTATAGACCATTTGTGACCCTGACCAAATGCGTTTTGGCCAATTGGCCTTCTTCAGTGGCCTAACAACGTCATTACACAACTCCAGACTGCATCTAAAAATCTGGGGGGGGGGGAACCAGGAGAAGAAGGTACACAACTGAACCACCATTCGACCCACGTGTGCCTGACCAAGGCAGCAGGTTATTTAAAATGAGGCCTCTGACTTATATCTCCGCCTTAGGTCACAGGGTCTTGAGTATGAAACAATTTCAACTTCGTCCAGTTATAAGAAGTGACTGAATCCTGATAGTAAAGTCTGGAGCCATGGAGAGGTCTGACCTCAGGCCCAGCGTCTCTCCTGCAGGCATGGCCCCCTCTGGTGGACTGGGGGGGGGACTGGAGTGGAGGCATGAAGCTGCCTTCCTTCCACGGAATGGGCCCACCCCTCCATGCAGGTCAGGACTGTCTGCTCAGGCGGGCAGCAGCTCTCCAGGTAGGGAGTCTTTCCCGTCACCTCCTGCCTGATCTTCTTTACCCGGAGAGGCCGGGGATTGAACTTGGGACCTTCTGCATGCCAAGCAGAGGCTCTAACACAAACCATGGATCGGGGCAAACGTTTGGAGGAAAACTGCCTCCCTTTTTCACTCCTACCCAGTCTGGGGGGGGGCAGGGTGGTTCTGAGGGTCAGAGGTTAGCCCCTCCGCTTTTGGGGCCTAAATTGCACACTGGAAGGCCAGACACGGATCTGTAGCTGCAGCTGGGCTCCTACTTCTGAGCAGTAGCGATGGTTAACAGACGAAGGGAGGGATTCCACGGATGCGCACTGTAGAACAGAGTCAGAGTCCAGTGGCACCTTTGAGAGGGGGAAAGGGAAAAGTTTCTACCCAGAGTGAAACTTGGTTGGTTTGGAAGGTGCCCCTGGGCTCCAGCTTCCTTCAGTGGCTTCCAAGCAACCATCTGCCTACTTCCGAGTAAGCTCCATTCCGCTCCAACCCATGGCGCGGGCTCCCGGGCAAACACCGGGCGTGCGCTCCCGCCGCCTTTTCCTAGCCAAGCCGGCGCAGAAGGCAGGGCAGGGGGGCGCCTCCTCGCAACGCAGCTTCCACCCCCTCTGCCACCCGGCGCCGCCGCTAGTGACACGCCTTTGCCCGCGCGTTCCGACGAGCACAGGCGCGCCAGCTAGGCCGCCGCTTTCGGCTCCCGGGGAGGCGAGGAAGGGGTGGCAGCGAATTCAACTACATTTTTATGCTACAGATAACCTTCAACTGCTTCTTGTGTTACATTCAATTACAGTTTTGATACCTTCTTTCATTAAAACCCCATCCATTTTTATAACATGAAAAACAGCTCCGGGAAGGAGGAATTGATCCATGACAGCACAAAAGCTAGCCAATCGGTACTCTGCACAACTGGCATCTTCTGGAAAGGTAAAAAACTGGCTTCTCCTGGGCTCAGTCCTGCAAGGATCACTGGATATCTGAAATGCGGTTTCACAAAGTGACCCTTGTGATTACAAATGTCAGCACGCATTGTCTGAGTAGTGGTCCCACTGGATTCTTCAACGTCAGCTCTAGAAACCACATCATAATTACTCACTGTTGGTCTCACTTTCTTTGGCCCGCAGGGGAGATCCCTGCATGCTCAGTTATTAATTAACTGGAGAGCCAGTTTGGTGTAATGGTTAAGTGGGCAGACTCTAATCTGGCAGAACCGGGTTTGATTCCCCACTCCTCCACATGTAGCTGCTGGTGCGACCTTGGGTCAGTCATAAGTTATTTTGGAGCTGTTCTCTCAAGAGCAGTTCTTGAGAGAGCTCTCTCAGCCACACCTACCTCACGGGGGGCCTGCTGTGGGGAGAAGAAGGAGATTGTAAACTGCTCTGGGACTCCTTTGGGTAGTGAAGGGCGGAATATAAATCCCATCTCCTCCTCCTCATTCTCCTCCTCCTCCTCCTCCTCCTCCTCTTCTTCTTCATTATAGTAGTATCAGTCATTGCCAGTCTTGTGAATCCAAACGAACACTTCCCGCTTCACCTGCTATCAGCTCTACCCCTTTCGAAGATCTGACTTGGCACAGGGGATGACCTAGAAGCCTCCGCTCCTCCGGCCTAGTCATCAAGCCAGGAGATCTTATTCGCCTCTGGGCTCACATGAGCTGAACTAGTATCCTTTTTTAAAAAAAGAAAACAAAAGGGAAAAAAAAGAAATCCCCTTTCCACCACTTTGCCAAATGCTTTTATCGATTCGCCCTAGCTGTTAGTTCTCCTGACAAGCTTACACACGCAATTAACTGGATTACGCGGGGGATCTGTTTAAAGCGCCTAAGAACTTCTGAAGCCCAAATGGCTGTCGTGGAGTAAGTCCTCCTGAATCACTCACTCGTCAACCCAGCTCGCCACCCACCCACTCACTCACTCACTCACCCACTCACCCAGGGAAAGACCCGCATCATGGTCCTCCTGGGTCAGCCCTGCTTGCCCCCACCCTAAAAATGGGGGTGTGTGTGTGGGGGGGAAGGAACCCCAATGTGGGGGCCTTGCAGGGGGCCTGGAGGTGCAGCCCTCTCCTGATGAGGTTGTCGCTTTCCTTGCTGATCATGCGCCTCTTTTCCTGCCCTTTGAGTTCATGCCCACATCACCTAAAGGTTTTGTTTGACAGTTAATTAAAACAGTTACTGAAATGTTAGATTTGTGGCGTTCTCTTAAAGAGGAAGAGGTGAGAGTTTGGCCTCTTCTCTTGCTTTAGAAAAGACAGTGGAGGACCATACCGGATTGCATTCCTAGATGCACCTGTTAGATCATATCAGCAGAAAAAGAGCAGTTGATTTATCTAGATGGTAATCCCATGTCTGAGTTAGAAGAGATTGAGTGTGAAATAAGACTGATATTTTCCTGTAAGGATGCATCTCTGTGATAAGCGGATAGGATTTTCCTCGATGGCACTATCAGAAGGTACTAGGGTGGAGTCTGGATGTGCAGGTCTGTGTGGCTTGTTGTGTCTGTAACAGAATTCCTAAAAAGCAGTTTTAGGACAATACCCTAAAAGCTGGGATGCTTTAAAAGTTTACTTATTCTAATATGGTTGAAAAATGTTAGGCCCTCTGAGAAATTTGGCACTTGTTTTTGACATAGCCTTTTCACGTGCTTGTCTTTTCGTAACATCCTGTCTAATAAAGAGAACTATTTATTTTGTTCAGTAAAAGTTTACAACTCTCTGAGGGTTTTTCTGTCTGGTTTGCGGATCTTAGTTCAGAGGGCAGAACTCAAAATTAATCCATTTGTACTATCAAGAACCAAAAGTTGCCGGACAACTTCCATCAGATAGATCCTGGAGATATCTGAGGCTAAATGTTTTCATAGGTTAATTCATAATAGAACTAACCAGTCCAGATTCTCTGTTTGGATGCAGGAGTAAAGGTCCTGCTACAGAAGGGAGGGAGGCGTGTCCCAACTTGCCCACTGAGAATGGAACTCGGTGGAGTGCAGGATGCTTCTGAGACCAGTGGAGGACTGAGCACCCCACAGTCCCCTGCCTTCAAGCAGACCCCATGCGCCTTAACCTGGCTCAAGCCACGCAGTCCAGACCCTGTGGCCCTGGAGGCAGGAGCCGAGTCTGTCCTTCCAGGGGCTCGAGCCAAAGGGCTGGGCTGCCACATGTGAAAACTCCCTGTGTGGGCAGTTTCTTCCATAAAGAAACTGCTCTTTATGGTTGAAATGGATAAAATAACAAGGAAGCTTAATAATCTGGACGCGGAAGAGTTTTTTGAAGATTGGAAAGACTTTAAAGAATATTTAGAGAAACATTGGGATGTTAAGAACAATTTAATTTGCTTTGATAATTATTGAAGGTAGATGACAATAGAAAAAAAAAGATTAATGTATATGAATAATAGTAAAATGGTATGTTACCGGTAGAGTGTGATAAAGGTATAGGGTGACATGGAGTACATTTAAGATATGGGCTGGAGGTTGGAGCACTGTGGGAGGCCAAGAAAGGGGTGGGAGTTAGGAGAAAAGGATGTATGATCATTTGAAAACGTGTTTAATCTGTTATTATATCCTAATAAAATGTTTTTTGGGGGGGAAACTCCCTGTGTGGGGGAAGGGAGCAAGCAACACAGTGGGGCCTCTTCCTCCTAGGCTGCATGTCTGTGTGCAGCAATGCAGAACTTCAGTGCTGGGAAGCATTCAAATAACCCCCCTCCCCCCCACGCACAGAAACACTTGCTCCGGTGGTCTGAAATAGCACAGCCTCGAAGAGGTGCCTGCCGCGGGCATCATCTTCCGAATGTTTGACTCTCCTGTTGCTCAGCTCTGCGCTGTAGACGACCATGCAAGTGCTTTTGGGGGCAGGGTCTTCTGGGGCGCTGCATCTGACGCTGCCGCCTCCCTCTTTGCAGTGCCGGGCCTGGAGCTTTCTCGGTGCACCTCCGTCCATTCCCTGGGGGGGGCCCTCTCGTGGCAGACGGGGGGTGCCTGCCAGATGAAGAGGGTCCGCACAGTCTTTACGCAGGAGCAGCTGGAGCGGCTGGAGAAGGAGTTCCTCAAGCAGCATTACATGGTGGGCACGGAGCGGGTGGACCTGGCTGCCACGCTGCACCTCACGGAGACCCAGGTAAAGGGGGGGAGGGGGCGCCCCCTGCCACTGACGCAGGAGAGCTGTCCCTTTCAAGATCAGAGTCCCATATGCTCGAGGCCAGCTGGAGTGGGGGTGCACCCCCCCTCCTTATGGCTCTCTTTGCCGCTTTCCATATTGCGGGTGCCACACATCTTGCACTGCTTGCTAAGGAGAGCTGAGACTGGACGGCCATCTTTCCGGTATGCTCCTGCAGAGTGCAGGGGGTTGGACTAGATGACCTGCAAGGTTCCTTCCAACAGTCTAACATTCTATGATTCTATGAGAGAAAGAGAGAGGCAGAGACAGAGAGAGAGTATGTTGTAGGTATGTAGGGCTATCTTTCGGCTGTGCTCCTGCAGAGTGCAGAGGTTGGACTAGATGACCTGCAAGGTTCCTTCCAACAGTCTAACATTCTATGATTCTATGAGAGCAGTATTTATGGGGTGTTTGAGAATGTACAGAGGGCTCTGAGGCACTGTTGTAATGCTCCTCACAGCCCTTTGAGGTAGGCCAGTGTTATCATCCCAGTACTGCAGGTGGGGAAGCTGAGGCTGGGACAGAGAGAAGAGACTTGCCTCAGGTAGCCTCGGTGGAGTCCATGACATCGATGGCAGTTACACTGTACAGAAAATGTGTCTGCCGCCTCTCTAGAGACTTGCAGCTCACAGCAATACCATAAAAACATCTTATTAACAAACTGTCAAGAGCCTGGACCTCCTTGGGCTAAGGAGAAAGGAGGTGCAAACATCTTTTAATAAAGGCGTATTACTCAAATAAAATGGCGCAAACTCCCCCCCACAAGCCAGTGTTCCCTCTAAGCTGAGTTAATGTGAGCTAGCTCACAGTTTTTTTGGCCTCCGGCTCACACATTTTTGTCTTAGCTCAGGAAGGAGGGCTCCAGTGCAAACTAATTTATGCAGCAGCCCAATCGCCCGCTCGCAACTTTAAGGCCAGCAGCTCACAAAGTAGAACTTTTGCTCCCAAGACTCCACAGCTTAGGGGGAGCATTCCCGCCCAGAGCCACAGCCACTGCGTGCAACGGGCTTGTCTTGTCCACCGCAGGAAAATCCAGTGGCCACTGAGGGCTGTAGCCAGGGAGGTGTGGATGCCGCTCCAGGGAGCAGAGGAGAGAACTGTTTCCGCTCTTCTTCCGCTGACCCCCACTGGCCAGCAGCCGCTCCCACAGCTCCGTTTTCTTTGACCCTTCAAAGGCCCGAGGGATTCAGGGACTCTCCTCCTTTCTCAAAACAAAACAGGCAGCTTTCTAGCCATTATGGATGCGAAGACACACTTGAAAGCAGGGCACCAGCAAATCCCTCCTCCCGTCTCATAAGCCTGTTCGGCGGGTGGGTCCTATTTCAGCCAGATTGAATTGTGCAGAGAAAGAGGGACTCGTGTCCATTTGCTCAGTTCATCGGCTGCTCTGGAAGCTGCTGGGACAAGATTGTGTACCCCAAACGAGGAAAGGCATGATCTGATCTAAAAGGATACCGGCATAACTGACCAGCAAAAGGGCTTCTTGTCCAAATGGGGTGAACCAGGTAGGATCCAGCCTCTGGCTAAAGAAAGGCAAAAAGATGGGAAAGCAGGCAAAGCCAGACTGTGAGGAGCACGCAGCTAAGAGTCAGTTAGACAAACCAGAAGGGCTCCTTTAGATATATTGGGTAGCACCTGGCTCAACCACCTGTTGCTGGGCTGTCTGCTCCTGAATTCAATGCTGTTGGGAAGTGGGGTTTTTTCCAGAGTCCCTGCAGCATCATGGTGGATTTGTGCACCTCCAGGGGTTTCCCCCAGTTTATAAATGGGAGCTCTGGAACAGTCCTCATCAAAGGCTCCTAAGCAAGCTCAATAGTCATGGGATAAAAGGACAAGTCCTTTTGTAGATCAAAAACTAATTACTAACTAATGGCTAATTCATGGCAAAAACTAATGGCTAATTAATAGGAAACAGAGAGTGAGTATAAATGGGAAATTTTCTCAGCGGAAAGCAGTGGGGTACCGCAGGGATCAGTACTCCGTCTGATGCTTTTTAACTTGTTCATTAATGATTTGAAGTTGGGAGCAATGTTCCCTCTAAGCTGAGTTTTTTAGCCTCCGGCTCACAGACCTTTGTCTTAGCTCAGGAAGGATGGCTCCAGAACAAACTATTTTATGCAGTAGCCAAATTGCCTGCTCACAACTTTAATGCCAGTAGCTCACAAAGTAGAATTTTTGCTCACAAGGCTCCATACCTTAGAGGGAGCATTGGTTGGGAGAAAGCAGTGAAGTGGCTAAATTTGCAGATGACACAAAGTTGTTCAGGGTGGTGAGAACCAGGGAGGATTGTGAGGCACTCCAAAGGGATCTGTCAAGGATGGGCGAGTGGGCGTCAATGTGGCAAATAGGATTCAATGTGGCCAAGTGCAAAGTGATGCACATTGGAGCCAAAAATCCTAAATATAAATACACATTGATGGGGTCTGAACTGGCAGAGACTTATCAAGAGAGAGATCTTGGAGTAGATAACTCACTGAAAATGTCGAGACAGTGTGTGACTGCAATAAAAAAGGCCAATGCTATTCTGGGGATTATTAGGAAGGGAATTGAAAACAAAACACCCAGTATCATATTGCCCCTATATAAATCAATGGTGAGACCTCATTTGGAATACTGTGTGCAGTTCTGGTCACCACACCTTAAAAAGGATATTATAGCTTTGGAAAAAGTGCAGAAAAGGGCAACTCGAATGATAAAAGGGTTGGAACACTTTCCCTATGAGGAAAGGTTAAAGCGCTTAGGGCTCTTTAGCTTGGAGAAAAGACGACTGAGGGGTGACATGATCGAGGTTTATAAGATTATGCATGGGAAAGAGCAGGTAAAGAAAGAGGTACTTTTCTCCCTTTCTCACAATACAAGAACCCGTGGGCACTCCATGAAATTGCTGAGCGGTCGGGTTAGAACGGATAAAAGGAAGTACTTATTCACCCAAAGAGTGATTAACACATGGAATTCACTGCCACAGGAAGTGGTGGGTGCTACAAGCATGGACAGCTTCAAAAGGGAATTAGATAAGCATATGGAGCAGAGGTCCATCAGTGGCTATTAGCCACAAGGTATAGCTAGGGGCTCTGGGGCAAGTGATGCTCTGTCTTCTTGGTGCTTGGGGGGGGGGTCAACAGTGGGAGGGCTTCTAATGTCCTGGCCCCACTGCTGGACCTCCTGATGGCACTGGTATTTCCTCGGGCCAGGGAAGGTCAATAGATTTTGAGACCCCGACTGTGATGCTCTGTCTTCTTGGTGCTTGGGGGGGGGGCAACAGTGGGAGGACTTCTAGTGTCCTGGCCCCACTAATGGACCTCCTGATGGCACCTGGTATTTTTGGCCACTGTGTGACACAGAGTGTTGGACTGGATCCAATGTTGGCTTCTCTCATGTTCTTATGTTCACGGACATCAGCACAGCAGCGCCCTTTCCTACCCGGAACCTCCCCTCCTCTTCACCTGAGAGGACCAACCAGCCTGTCCTTTGGGGCCGTTTGGGGTACAGCCTGGGTTAACAGTAACCATAAGGTCGGAAGGCACCCAAAAGAGGGGGGGGGGTGCGTCCTGCCAGGGCAGCAACTGCAGGGCCAAAGTGGAGCAAAGAGTTGAGTGGAACCTGGCCGACTCTCTTTCCCAGCCCTCCCTAGTCTCGGCTCTCACTGTCGGGTGGTTTTGCCCTCCATGCAGGTGAAGGTGTGGTTCCAGAACAGACGAATTAAGTGGCGGAAGCAGAGCTTGGAGCAGAAGGCCGCAAAGCTGTCTCAGTTTGGCGTGACACAGCCGACCTCCACCGAGCAGCCCGAAGGGTGGGACAGCAAAGAAGACCCCTTGGAGGTTGAAGCCTAGACTTTGAGGGCTCTCCCGCCCCAGCTGCGGATCTTTTTGGAGGGTGTTGTGCCTCTGGCTTGCACCTGGCTCCTGGGAGGAGGAAGGAAGCGGACTGGCACAGCTGTGGCCTGCTAGGGCTGCCTCCAAGGGTCCTGCCGGGCAGAACTCACAGCGAGCCATGCCCGACGGCCGCCCAGCGCTAGCCAGTGTTTGTTTTGTCCCACACTCCAGGGGTCGCTGCTGTGATCCAGGCAGCAGGACGATACCAGTGCCTGGGTCCCTTACAGGCCCCCGTGCTGCTTTTTCTGTAGCCGGCCAGGTGGCCCCAGCAAGTGCATCTGCGGGGCGTGATGGAGGCAGCCCTCTCTCCGTGCCCACCGCTTGCGTCCAGGGGCTGGAGGGAAAAGGGGTCTTGGCTCAGGTTCAGCCGCACACACCTCTCCTTCCTCCCCCATGAATCTGTTGGAATCTCAGCCGAACAGGACAAAAGGAGACGCCTTGGACGCTGAACCGAATTTCTGAGTGCGGTTTTGCAAAACTCCAGGCCTCGGTGAGCTCTGGGCACGGGAATCAAGTATTGCAAGCTGATGCCTTTGTTACGCTCTGACTGCTGGTTTCCTAAGTGTTCTTAACACATAGACATATTAACATTTCCGTGCAGGGTTTGGTACATTCAGGGCCCCGTTTTCCATAAACGTGCCTTTCTCCAGAACTGAGAGGGTTGTGAACTAATCCCAAATAATAAGAGGAAGAGATTGGATTTATATCCCGCCCTTCACTCCGTGTCTCAGAGTGGTTTACAATCTCCTTTCCCTTCCCCTCCCCACAACAGGACACCCTGTGGGGGAGGTGGGGCTGAGAGAGCTCTTTCAAGGACTGCTCTTGAGAGAACAGCTCTTGTCAGAACTATGCCTTGCCCAAGGTCATCCAGCAGCTGCGAGTGGAGGAGGAGTGGGGAATCAAACCCGGTTCTCCCAGATGACAGTCTACACACTTAACCACTACACCAAACTGGAAATATGACTCCAAAGGGGGACATTTATTAGACCCCTGCTGGCCTGTTGGAGTAGGGAGGGTTTTCTGTCAGGATCCTTCCTGCCGCCCTCCTCCCTCAGGTACATTGGGGGGGGGGCAGAGATAGGTTTGCCTGCTCCCGATTGGGAAATACCTGGAGATTTGGGGGGAGGGGTGCCGAAGCAGGGCAGGATTTGGGGAGGGGAGGGGCCTCAGCAGGTTATAATGCCAGAGAGTCCAATTTCTTTGTTGCCTGGAGATCCTCTCCTTCCTCTGGACCAGGAGGATTCTTGGAGCAGCCCGTTTGTGATGTGGGGGGGGGACGCACAGGGGTCTCCCAGGGCCTGGCCCTTCCCCTTTGCTCTAGCTCTGGTGTGAGCCCCTTGGCCAGTGGGCGATTTCAATCCTCGAGGTCCTTGCCCTGAGCCACGTGCTCAGCCACGAGCAGCCTGTGCCTTTCACGGAGCCCTCCGCCAGGGGAGAAGCCGTAGCCACTGGGGTGGGGAGGATGCCCCTGGCCCCCTCACACGGGGAGGAGCCACGTCCCTTTCGAGCCTGGGGGCATCTTTGGAGTTTTGACACTGTGGGGGGGGCACACCCACAAGATGGCTGCCTCCACAAAGGTGCTGCCGCAGCGTCCTCTCACATTACACAGTGGAGAGGAGGTTTCTATGCAGCCCCGTAGCTAGGAAATTTTGGGGGAGGTGGCGTCGAGGGGCCCACCAGCAAATTGAATGAAAGTACAATGCAGGTGTTAAGTTGGAGCACTTTGGGGGCAGCCCGGGAGGGAGGGGGCCGGGCCCTTTCACGGCTCAGGTGGGGTGGCACCTGACGCTGCCACCACTCTGGATTTAGGATCCCTTAAGAAGGCCCGGAGCACCCTCCCAAGACCTTCAGACCTCCCTTTAGGCCGAATAACAGGCGTGAGGACCAGGCAGAGTACAACAAGGAAAAGGTTTATTTTGTAGGAGGTCAAACAACAAGGTGCAGGAATAATAACAGTAAGTGGGTGAAAAGAAAAGAAATCAAATGCCCTGGCACGTCTAAATATATACTGTCCCTAGCTCACTATTCCAAGTGACACTAGACTACTCACCCTTCCCTCAGGATGAGGGTCTCTCCCCTGCAGCAGCCTTCCTTCTGGCTCTGCCCTCTGGAAGGAAGAACAGCTTCTGCTCTGGCACCAGGCCTTTTGTTCCCCAGCCCTCTTCTTCCCTATTGGTCCATTTTGGCTCCAAAACCTCTCAGGGGCTTCTGGGAGTTGTAGGCCCAGCCTCACCTACTGCTAGCCAGGCTCCATGGGCCTAGTAGGCCTCTGGTGGCACAGCCCAGATCATGACAGGCCCCATGGGCCCCATATTAGCTACGGGCCAGTTTCTATGCCCCCCTTTTCTCACCCAAAGGCGTCTTACAATTTCCTTCCCTTCCTCTCCCCACAACAGGTACCTCGTGAGGCAGGTGGGGCTGAGCGTGTTCGGGTTCTGAGAGAAGGGTGACTGACCCAAGGTCCCCAGCAGGGTTCAGGAGTGGGGGACCAAGCCCGGCTCTTCAGATGGGAGCCGGCTGCTTTTGACGACTGTACCCTGCTGGCTCTCAGCACAAGGTCCTGGGGGCAGCAGCTGCCAAAGCAACGTTTTAGAAAGTCCGCACAGCCAATGAGATCTCCAAGGGCCGGTCAGAAGCCCTGCTGGGCAAATGCCCGCTTCCCATAAGCACTTGGTGGGCACCGTGTCGTGGACCCCTTCCCTAACCCTTCGGTAGCTGTTGCCTGCAGCTTTGGACTGGGGTGTGTGTGGATTCCAAGCACTGTCTGTTTTTTGTCCAGCCACCCACCCCACCCCAAATCTTGTAGGCATTGTCTGGAGGGCCAACAACAGGCCAGAGAGGCTGAGGCCTTTCCCTGAGAAGGACACCAGAAGAGCCCTGCTGGGTCAGACCAGGGAGGGTCCATCTAGTCCAGCATCCCGTCTCACACAGGGGCCAGGCCAGTTCCTCTGCAGGGCCAACAACAGGGCAGAGAGGCTGAGGCCTTCTCCCGATAAGACCTTCAGAAGAGCCCTGCTGGGTCAGACCAGGGAGGGTCCACCTAGTCCAGCCTCCCATCTCACACAGGGGCCAGCCAGTTCCTCTGGAGGGCCAGCAACAGGCCAGAGAGGCCAAGGCCTTCCCTTAAAGTTGTCTCCTGGCTCTGGGATTCAGAGGCTTGAATGCCTCTGAACATGGAGGTTCCCCTCGGTCACCATGGCTAGTAGCTATTGATAAACGTATCCTCCATGATGGCTCTGGTCACCCTCACAGATGACCTCCATAGATACTTGGATCTGGGCAGAGCAGTGCCGCTGTTGTTATTAGACCTAACAGCCGTGTTTGATACGGTCAGCTACCCACCACCTCACTGACATCGGAGTTCAGGGGACTGTCTTGAAATGGTTTTCCTCTTTTCTCTGTGGTTGGGACAGAGGGTGGCACTTGGCAAGAGGGTCTCCCCGCGATTCCCACTGGGATGTGAAGTGCCACAGGGGGCGATTGTGCCACGAATGTTATTTAACATCTATATGTGCCCCCTCGCCCAATGAGTCCAGAGTTATGGGCTGGGTTGTCATCAGTATGCTGGTAACACCTTGCTCTATCTGTTAATGGACAGCCATCCATCCTCCATTCCTGGAAATCTGGCTGAGGCTTTAGGCACTGTGCATTTTCCCTTCGTAGGCAGATTATGCTACTGAAGCTCTGTCTCTCCCCTCAAGACTTCGCTACGGTGACCCATGCAATGGTCACTTCCAGGCTTGATTACTGCAATTCGCTTTATGCAGGCTTACTCTCCTCGAGGGTGACCCAGAAATTACTACTGGGGCAGAAGGAAGCGGCACACCTGCGGACGTTGACGCCTGTGCAGGCTCCCATTCGCCATGTGCTCCACCAACTGCACTGGTTGCCAGTTGAGTACCGGATTCACTTCAAGGTGCTGGTGATGACCTTCAAAGCCTTATATGGCCTGGGACTGACCTATCTAAGAGACCGCCTCTTCCCGTATATACGCCTTGAAGAGTGCTACCTTCTAAATGTCAACACCTCCTGGTGGTCCCTGGACTGAGGGATGTCCATCTTGCCCTGGGCCAGGGCTTTCTCTGAGATCAGGGCCCTGTGGGATCTCCTTCAATACTGCAGGGCCTGCAAGACACTGTTAAGAACATAAGAGATGCCCATGTTGGATCAGGCCAAAGGCCCATCCAGTCCAACACTCTGTGTCACACAGTGGCCAAATATCCCAGGGGCCATCAGGAGGTCCAGCAGTGGGGCCAGGACACTAGGAGCCCTCCCACTGTGCCCCCCCCCCAAGCACCAAGGAGACAGAGCATCAGCCGGCATCCATATATGGCCTCCCTGATGTTGCTGTCACCCACCCACTGATAACGGGCCACGACTTCATCTGTACCAACTGGCCAGAATCTTTTATAGGCGGCTGATTTTTTGCTGTTATTAAATTTCAATTGTATTTATTATCATTGATGTTACCCGCCCTGAGCCTGTTCGCGAAATGGGTGGGATTTAATACAAATAATTAATAAATAAAAATGAATCTATCTAATCTCCCTTTAAAGCCCTCTGTGCCTGTGGCCATCACCGCATCCTTTGGGCAGTGAATTCCAGGGAGCCCCTCTCTCTGCGGAGACCTGACCTCTTTGCCTCTCCTGCGCTGGTGCCCCCTGCAGGCTTGGTGTTGGCCGTGCAGCCCCCCAGGGCGGTGGGTCATGGTGTCACGCCTGCCCCCTTTCCTGGGAGTTCTCTTCCTTCTGGGACCTGTTGGGTCTAGTCACTGGTAATCCTGGGGGAGGGGGGTGTCAAGGTGTGACCTCTCTGTGGCCGGAGTGGGGAGGGGCTTGGTCCTGTAGGGCAGCCTTTCCTGGGGTTGTAAAAGGCCTCCAGGAGACAGATAGACAGACCCCCCCCCCCCCCCCCCCCCCCGAAAGCGGCAGCTTTGGAGGCTGGACTCTGTGGCTTCA